ATTGTATAAGTAACTGGGTTTCCAGGAGGGTAGGCGTTCCTTCTCGTCCTGAAGACGAATTGAACGGTTTTGCTGTTGAGGTTAGGGCTTCAGATAGAGGTGGAACCCAGAGCTCTGTAAATTGCTTTATTCGATAGTCTATTCAATTGTGATAATAAATGTTTAAAATTGATATTTGACTCCGATCATTCTTCATAAAAGAACACGCTGCACTTCCTAGACTATCTGATATACCCATCCTGTCCAAAATTTGAGATCCACCCCTGCCCAGCACAACTGTGTGAGAGAGAGGAGAGGAAGACAAGGCCTCAGAGGGCAGTGATGAAGAGTAAGCTAAAACTAACTAATTTTTTTACTTACTATTATAAAGGGATCTTAACGATAACATGTTGTATACTGTACATGTTCTTCCCTGTCTGGAGGTCAATTTTATCTGCACTTCACCAACCATGCAGCTACTGTAAAAAGTCACTTCTACTCAAAGTACATTTTAAATGAGTTACTTTAACTTCAGTAGCTTTTTAGATGAGTAATTTTACTTGTGCTTGAGTACAATTTCAACATAATAACTACTTTTTACTTGAGTTAAGTAATCTAGTATTCTTTACACTTCTGTTGATTTTATGCATTTTTTATTTCTTCACCTTGCAGAAATGCTTATTTTATCTTAACATGAGTCATATTTTTAGGAGAATATACAATTATGATATCTTTCATTTAGCATGAGTGCAGGAAATTTTGCACCCTGCCCCACAAACCAGGACAGTTTCCATATGTTCAGCTTAACCCCATGCCCTTGTCTTAATACAGAGTTCATCAACAATGACCCTGTATGTTCTCCTCTCATTCCCCAGAATCTACTGCGTCTTGTGAGTCAGGTCTGGGCTTGGCCAGGTTGGCCCTGACCCGAGCCTGGTCCACGGCATCCAACAGGTTTTTGGAGTCAAGTGCAAGAGTGTGAGCAGCTGCCAACATCTGCCGCTGGCACTCCTCCTTCAGCGATGTTATGGAGTTCTGCTGGGCCAGTCGCATTTTATTGATCAGCTCCCCTAGATCCTTGTTTAGCAGTTTCTTGGTGCCTTCAATCTGAGATGATGAGGACAGACCACATATACTCTGGTCAAACTTCAGATTCTTCATGTTATTAAGATTTGGAAAAAATGATAAGAGTTGGCCTTGTTGGCAAAGAGTGATTCAATAAATATAGCTGTCTTATGAAGTACTCAAATACTTAATGCATCATTTCTATTGCTCTCTAATTGTATGTAATGTATAGAGATTTTAATGCATTTATAACATCTAAAGGTCTGAGGTTTCAAATAATACCTGCGATTCAAATGAGAAGAGCAGTTTAAATTTGACTTTCATTTTATGATCAGTTTATGTAGGATGTCATCCTACATTTCATATGTGAAATACTTGTGATATGTGTTTCACATGATAAATTTGCATTTGCAATTTTTGTGGTAATTAGCATTAATTTAGCAGATAGATGATAGATGATGTGAAAGGAGAGGAAGTGAGGCACACCTCTGTGGTGACGGAGCTGTGCAGGGAGGGCAGGATCTCGTCAACACTTTGGATCAGGCTACGGAGAGTGACCCCCACCGCCTGCAGGTGGACAAGGCCAGCACGGTCAGTTTGCTGTTCTCCATCCATCACATTTATGATATTATAATACACTTTTCAGCTTTTAGAAAAATGTTAAATGAGATGTGAAAATTAGCTTGCCAAAATAAAATGTCACTGTTTGTATAATGTACACACATATGGAGGGTGGTGGACCGACCTTGATGGCACTGGGGTACTCGGAGACTGGCAGTGCGTTGACATCATTCTTCAGCTGGACCACCTGTTTCACTATCTCCATGACGCCGGTGTACACCTGGTCACCTGACCGGTCCAGCTCGGCTGTAGGTCGAGGCTGTAACACAGACATGCTTCACTTTTTTGTAATAAATATCTCTATATCAAAAACACACCTGTTAAAATAACTTCAACTTTTCAAATTGTATTTAAATATTTTTATCTATTTTCTTAAAAACATCAAATAATTGAATTATAACTTGTGACAGATTTTGATAGTGAGGATTTTTTTTTTACCTGTGTGACTGTAGGAGGCATCGGGGGCTTCTCTGGAGGACCTGACACAGACAGACAGAAGAAGCTGCATAGTTTGTATCTCCACACATATCATTCTATAGATGACACTCTGTCCTAGACTTCTGATGTGAACACAAAAGTTTCATATTCATGCATGTTTTCCACATTGTAAATAGGTTACATTCCTTTTGTTTGTCTTGGAATGTGTGACTACTGTACCACATATGTGTGTGTGTGTCTAACCTTCTGTATTTTCTTTATTTAACAGGCTTTGTTAAGTGGATGCAGTGTTTCAGTGTTGCAGTTATTTCTACCAATAAGATTTAATGAATTTGATGGTGGCCCACTGTAAGTTCCTGTACTGTGCTGCTCCAATAGTCCATCTTCTGATTCCAAAGTATACTTTGTGGGTCAAACATTGAGTTTAACAGAATTATTAAAGCAGGTTTAACAAGGCTACCAGATGAAATTACACCTCTTTAAACTGACTCACCATTTTCTGGGCTTTTTTCAAGAGGCTGAAAAATAACAGAGAAGAAAATATCAGCTTAATAGGTTTGAGCTACACAAAAAGCTCAATATATAGGTTAAATGGTGTTTAACTATTATTTGGCCTAAACAGGAGTATCAGACCATGCCATCATAAATCCTCAGGGCCCCACAATAAGCAATACCATTTGCTAATTCTAACCTATCCTTAAAACATCCCTGAATCCTATCCTCACCCAAGCAAAGGGCAGATATGTGGCTTCACACACAGTATTTGCTCTGGTGAAACAGTGCTTGGCCCAACTGGCTTGGTAGGCAGTCATATCTGAGCGCTGTCCAAACCACTGACAATGCCCTACCAAGACTGTCATTGTCAGTTCCTCCTTATCGCTCTAGCTATCGCCAAGAAAACAATCTTTCTAAATTGGAAATATAAAAACTCATTACACATCAGCCACTGGACCAACCTTCTCATAGAACCCATCACACTAGAGATGATATCATCCACCCATAAGAATAATATATCAACTTTTACCGACACTTGGAATCCGTTTCTAACCACTTTTAACTTAAACCAGATACCTGGGGCTGTCTCCTGTCAAGGTCAGGGGCCGACCCCGAGCTGTTTGTCCCAACAATCAACTATTAACATAAAGCGTGATGACCAGTAAAACAAAGGAAAGGTTTAATTTAACCATGACACAAGGATGCTGCTGTCCTGCTGCCCTGGACGACCTCAACCTGCTGAGCTGCTCCAGAGACCCCCAAGTGTTGGTGGTTCAGGGCGGGGGCATCACCGGTACACTCCTGTTCCTTTATTGAGCTAAAACCCCTGCTCCTTTTTGTTGTTGTTTTTTTTTAGATTTACCTCCCCCCCCAAATTTCTTAATTTATTTGGTTTAATTTTATTTTTCTTTAATATGTATTGAATATCAGTCTGCAAAGAGTTGGACACACCCACACTACACACATCAACTTAATTTAATAATCACTTTGTATCTTTTGTTAATGTATTTTGTCTCATCTGCTATGTTATGTCCTTTGTCCTCTAAGTGTGTTATTTCATGTTGCAATAATAAATAAAGTTGATCACGAAAAAAAAAAGATTGTCATTCAGAAGAACAACACACCAGTAACAATCCCACTGAGTCAGTAAAGCCGATACAAATTGAGGTTGACTTGATAACTCACTGTGTCCCCATCAGGTTGGTAAAACTGGTTATTTAGAGCATGGAAATATTGCTTTAAACATTGAATAATGATAGAATTAAACCAAAGTAAACAAATGGCTGGTGATTTTTCTCTGGAGCTCATGAATCAAACTACCAGACACAGGGTGTATTTCCTGGTGTGTTTCTGCCCCTTAGTGGTCAAAAAGTGCTTAAGTGCACTTATATCTGCACAGGAGGAAATACAAAGAAGATACTGTACCTTGGTGTATCTATTCATTTGCACAGGATCCTACATAAACCTAAGATTAGTGGAGGTAAATTCAGTAAGGTATGCAAAAATTTCACAACATGTAGTCACACAGAGATCATGTACTTGCTGAAGACATTCCTCTGGTGAGACACATCACTCTGTGTCTTGTGGTTTCATCACACTTTCAAGGCTGTGTTCAGCATGCATGTGTGTGAGTTTATGTGTTTGATCACCAGTTGTTTCTCTTCCTGCTCCAGCCATTGTTTATCCATCAGCATCTCTCTTCTTTGTCTTTGTAACGTGTCCTCCATCTGCGCTTTTTCTATCTCCCACACTGGCACGTTGTTCCTGTCTGCTGCCTGCACACACACACCTAAAGAATTTAATATTTTTGATCTTTGTAATAAGATAATATAACTTACACTGTAGTGGTTTGTATTCATATCATTTTTGCAGTATTAGTCAATTTCTAAGAGACAGATTTGCATAAAAATGTACTTTCCCCCCTTGTGTATTAAGTCACATGAGTTCAGTCACTTTACTTCCCTTTTGTGTCTTAGTCAACTGCTTTTTACACTCTGACCTAAAAGGCTGAACAGCTGCTGGCATTGTGGAAAGTGACTCAACAAATTTCCTTCTCGTGTTATATAATTTGGGAGGTTTGATCATTATATTCAGCATCAGAATCAGTTTTATTGGCCAGGTGTTTTGGACTGAAATTTGACTCTGGTACATTGGCTCTCAGTGTGCATGTACAATGCTCTTCCAACGAGTAAATAAGAAGAAAAGAAAAAGAATGTGCATTATAAAAATAAAGTACTTCAAAATATACACACAGTTTCGATGCATACCGGCAGTTTCAGTTTATAATTTTTGTATTTGACTTTAAAACATCTGCAGATTTTATACAGTATGTTTTCTCTCTGTATAAGAGTAAGAAGTCACAGCAGGGGATTGAAGTAGCTCAGCTGAACCTACAGTAAATGTGGTGAGTTATAAAATGCTTGTGTCTCATTCTGTTTGTGTGTGGACAGGACACCTGCATGCACGTGGCCCGAGGAAGGGTGTTGCCTTTTATTCTGGATGGCTGGTGAGAGAGAGGAAATGTAGTTTAGTAATGGGCTGGCTGGTGAAAACACAGTGGCTAGTTGCCATAATCCAGGTCATCAGCTCTTAACTACTTGTGGTAGAAACAGATTTTTCATCTGTATTCATTATTATTTTTTTGAATTACCTTTAACTGTTGGCTTTAAAAACATATTTTAGAATGTGAAAGTTAAACAGGAAAAACTGAGTGGCCATTATATCTCAGGGCACCACTTCAGTTACTTCCACATTTTGCTGTGGTGGTTATAAATTTGTGATGCTATTACATAACGTAGTGTGAGGCAGTATATTTAATCTTTAACCATATCTGATTGGCACAGTAACAGTACCTTGGGTGGAGGTTCTGTGTGACTGGGGACAAATATCGTGTTGCGTGATCTGTCCCTCCTCATGTCCACCTCCTGCTCCTGCTCCATCCTGTGGATCTCACTGTCAGATACAAAAACAAGAGTCAGTGCATGTGATGGCATCCTAGTGTCAAAGGTATGAAGGAAGATAACATCTGTATTTACCGACCTGCCATGTGACCTATAAAAACATATAAGCCTTCATGTTTCAGTTTCATTTCAGTTGTTTGACCTGAAGTCCCACTATGCAACATTGAAAGAATACATTAAAAACTGAGAAAAGTGTATTCTGAAACTTTGGTGGCACTAGGAACTCATTACAAGAATGTTAATGCTAATGACAGTAATTTAAAATCGTGATTCCCAATTTTAGAACCATAGTTTCGCTATCATAATGTTTCCAAAGCTTTCAAAACTCAACCTTTCATGACTATGAGTGTGATAGTATCTCATACAACTGCAGGTAAGCTGGGTGTTCGTAGCAGTAATACACCTGAGGGAGCAGACGAGCTGGCTGAAGCTGGGCCGGGCGTGCGGCTCATAGGCCCAGCAGCGGGTGAGCAGGGAGTAGATGGTGGGTGGGCACAGCTGTGGTTTGGGGAGTCGAATTCCCGACTCCAGCTGGTTGATCACTTGCCCGTTCTCCAGCCAGAAGAACGGCTGTTGGGCCATAGAAAAGATCTCCCACACACACACACCTGTTGACCACACACACAGGATCAGTTGCATTGAATTTATATTGTTTTATTTCCCTTTATGTACACATGAAATCTGGAGAGTGACACAAAAATAAACTAGAGAAATACATTTCCTGTCAAAAATGCACGTGGATGCTGATATGCTAAAAGATCATCCTGAAAATGCCTGAAATCAATTGCTGAAACAGCTGAAGAATGAGAAGGAATGGCTGAAGTTCTTTGTTGAAATATTTGAGAAGAAATGCCTGAAGTTCTTTGTTGAATAATCTGAAGGATGAGATGCAATAAATACAAGTAGGAATGTCCTTGAAGAGCTGAACATTTTGATACCTGGATTGCTTTTCTTGCTGAAAGTATGCTGAACTTATTAAGATGTGAATATATTGCAATTGGTCCCCACAAAGTAGGTAAAACAAGTAGGTGTGTGTGTGTGTGTGTGTGTGTGTGTGTGTGTGTTAGAGAGAGAGAGAGAGAGAGAGAGGAGTTATGAAGTTCCATGCCTCAATTGCACTGCATTTTAAGAACTACCAGATGGCACTCCAGCACTGTGTCATTGACTCAGCACTTTGAGCTCCCATTGACTTCTATTGTAAAGAAAAAGCTGAATGAATTAAAAAGTAT